GAGTCTAGAGCGAGTCATGGAATAATTGTAGACTTCAGCAGTGTTTAATTATACTCAATAAATACATTTTAAAAAACATATTAAGATGATAAATTGAATTTGCATATTAGTTTCACCCAGCGTTGGCAGTAGGAGGATAGTTAGCACATCTCAGAGGCCCTGCTGAGGTTTGACTTGGGGACCACCAATGAATCACTGTTTGAATGAAAAAAAAACAACCTTCATGCAGACAAATTATAGCCTACTTAAGAAATGATGCTTCCATGTAACCCAGTGACTCCATAGCAATACCAGAAATCATCACTACACTGGACAAATAAGACACATCTCTTTTTATTGGATTAGTTTTCTTACATTTTATATAAATACTTTTGTGGGAAAATCATGACATCTTCCACCTAATGACCCCAATGAATCCAATCGTTTAATAGCAGTATTTTACTTTGAGGCAATCAATGCATAATTTAAATGCAAATTTATTTAAATAATTTAAAGCTTTTTCAAATATATCAGCTTATTCATTGATTATATCAGCTTATAAGTCTGTAATTAAACAGCAGTTCGCAAGAAAACTTCCGTGTAGTCGTCTTAAAATATACACTGCCTAAAGAATGAAAGGTTCCTCTGTTCCATTAAAGTTACTATTTTTTCTGTTGGTGACGTCAAATATAGTTAAGGATGTAGTTTTTATGTCAAAAAAAACCTGTTTAGTTATAAATGAAGACAAGTGACAGACAGCTGAGTTGAGCAGTGTGTAGCTGACCTTACAGCTACAAACCTGGATTTATTCAATTTGAACATGTACATGTAAGTTACAATCACAGAAATTCTTAAATGAATGGAACATTTTAATTGTGTTTTTCTAAGTGTTTCATTGGTGATTACTGACTATTAACAACATTAAACCTATACAGCCTAAAAATCATGAGATCTGTCTCATACTTTCAATCCCCTAAAAACTCAGGAACAAGAGCCCTCATTTATCAAATCCGCTTAAAGGCTTAAAAACTTAAAAAAGAATAAATAAAACCTCCTTACAAATACAGTAAGATCCAAGTGCTGTAAGAGACATACAAACAACATCTAAATGAGCAATCATCTTAAAGCAGACTAAGTGGGATTCATCTGTTGAAACTTTTCACACCTTTTCCTTATTTACATATTATGTACAAAAAGCATGCCTTGATTAACAAGTGTGATGGATCCCAGCGTACTGTAAGGAAGGCTGGGAGCAGGAAAATCTGCATGTCCTGTATAAGCCTCACCAAAAAACTGGCCTCTAAGAAGCCCAGTGTGTCCAGTCATGCACTCTCTGCCTTCATATGGAGCCTATGCATCTTCCAGATTTTAGGTAGCCTATTTAGTCACATAATTTAGGCATAATCCACAAAGAAATCTTATTAGTATTATTATAAAAATAAAATATTGCAAGAAAAAAAATGACTATGCTGTTTAAAACGACAAAGCAAAATATCCTTTAATATTATGTAATTCCAGTAGTTCTCCATGTGCAGTGCAAAAAAGGTATGAAATGAGCATGAACATTTTCTGCACAAACAAGAGCCTGATATTAAGGTATGACAAAGACAGAATTGATACTGAGTCTGAAGGTAAGATTGGCCTATTGTTAAGGAAGGCGGCCATTAAAATCAATGCCCAAACTGGACGGCTGCTTCCTGGTTCTACTTTGACACGCTGGTCTTACAGTAGTTGTGCACTGTGTGTAATATAGCTGTTGTGCATTTTGAAAAGTTAAACTGGACTTGTGTTAGGTTGCACCATTCTGTGTACTGAGCACATCAAGTAAGCAAACTGTCACCGTGTTTCCTGACAGGAATGATGGCCAAAATTATTATAGATTCCATTAAACGGGCGCGTGAAAAACTGCCACTTGGTAGAAAACGGTGAGTTTTCAGTTGTGACTTCATGCTGCACTAGTGGGTGTATTGAGGCCAACAAATAAAGTCATCACCAGTTTTTCAACAATCCTGCTCTTCTGCTCATCCTGTCAAATATTTGCTGTTGGTTTACTCACATTAATTAACCGTTAGTGTGTCCCCCACCAACTGTTTCCAGAGGAAATACATCACATAGGAAGTACTGATACCAAGAGGACTTCTCTTAAAGTATCAGACTTGAATACTGACAGGTTGATGCACTAGGTCCAGCATCTCTAGTCAAAGCATGTAGCAAACACTGACTGTTAACATGCAGGCAGAACTCTGGTCTCAAGCCCATTACTTCTCTAATATTTTTTGGCTCAACACATATTAAGATCAATACTGGGTTAGGAAAACAAGCTGAAGACACCGTACTGCCAAACACATGTCCACCAGCAGTATCAAAACAGTAGATAACAACAGCTCTAATGTGACATTAACCTAATTGTTGTCAGCAAATGATTCATTTCCATTCAAACAGCAAGTGATGCAGCAAAAGGACCAGAGACAAAAGGAAGTGACGTACAGACGGAAAGTAGCCGACAGAGGCCCTAAGAACTAAAACCCTGTTATATTTAGTGAAAACAACATCTAGCATGTACAACACAAAGAGCAGGGCAGTGTGGAGGAAACTCCCAGTACCTCACAATGAATATATTGAGAATATGAACAGTTTGTTTTTTTACACAGTTGTAATTCTATTCCAGTCCACCAAATCATTTATGTCCCTTCTTTGAAATTGAGACACTTGTCTGATGGCAGTAACCTGGCACAGTCAGCTGATAACGCTGCAGCTTGGTGTTTTCACTCGCAGGCAGTAACAGAAGTGCCATATGTGCCATGCTTTGGTGTGTTAAAAATATCCTGAAAACAATGTTTTAACGTTCATCATAAATCTGACATAAATACTCTGGACACAATCTGCCATATTGCACATGTTCTTGCACATATTCATTAGTACTATTCTGTTAAAACGTTTTATACAGTGTCAATTTCATATTTTTATATTTATATATTTTATGTTTATTGTAATGCACAAAGCCACAAAGAAAATTCCATGTATGTATAAAGCTACTTGGCAACAAAGTCTGAATTCACTGGGCAAATTAAAGTTCTAACCACAAATTAGTCACATAGACATAGTGGCAAAACATGGGAAAACAGGGTCCAGAATGAAAAATATAGACGTTACCCTTTAAGGTCACAGTAAAGTCAGGAAACCCTTTCAGATACACCGCACTTTTCTGTGTGTGCTCCAGCGTTCAATTATTTCAGACAATGAAAGGAAGATGTAATGATGAAATACTCAGATATGTCCTTTTTTGTTTAGAGGCTGATGAAACTAACTTACATATCTGAAAAAGCATTATGTAAAGCTGAGATAAATGTTCATGGTGTGAGTAGTTTATATAGCTAGTGCTTGGAAGGCTCACTGTTCTCAATTAGCTCCACCATCTCAGTGCATTAACTGTGACCTCACATCACTCTCTTTTGTGCTGCCAATAACATGTAGTGCCTCTGTCGCTAAACTAGAAGCCTCAGTCTTAAAACCTTCTATTGCACCTCACAATTTGAATGACAAGACAAAAACACAATAATAACGTTGTCATTCTCAGAGCCTCAGCAGCAGTGTGGCTGAAAGTCTAACATTTGTCCTGAGGGTGGTGCTAGAGAAGATGTCACTGAAGCATTCAAATCAAAACGTTCGTCTCTTTGGGAACATGTCATGGAAATCCTGCTGTTAGCTTTCCAGATACCACGTCAGAGATCAAAGTCTGTCTTATGCTGCCTGTAGGGAAGAAAGTCAGGTCAGAGGGTCACCAAAACTATTAAGCATCTTTATGTAGGGCCCATGAATGTCCACAGCGAACTTAACAAAGGGTCAGTAGTTGAGACATCTCAATCTGAGCCAAAGTTCTTGACCGAACAGTAGAGTGACACCTCTACATTTCACATAGCACTAATGAACCCTAAATGAGAACTTGTTTAAAAATGGTATCCACGTTTACAGTCTATGTTCAATGGCAATTCAAAACAACACAGTATTTTTCCACTTTTTAAACATCAAAATATCATTTCAGTAAGTATGATATGATTTTAGAGATGTCTGACTGACATGGAATTACAGTTCAGAGTGGGTCCCTGGTCTGTCTGTCAGTCTGCCTGCCTTCCTGTAAGTCAGTCGGTCGTCTGTCTGTCAGTCAGTCAGTCAGTCTGTCAGTCTGCCTGCCTGCCTTCCTGTAAGTCAGTCAGTCTGTCCGTAAGTCAGTCTGTCTGTCATTCCGTCAGTCAGTCTGTCCGTCCGTCAGTCTGTCCGTCAGTCTGTCTGTCCGTCAGTCTGTCCGTCAGTCTGTCCGTCAGTCAGTCTGTCTGTCATTCCGTAAGTCAGTCTGTCCGTCTGTCTGCCTGCCTTCCCGTAAGTCAGTTGGTCGTCCGTCTGTCAGTCAGTCAGCCTGTCAGTCTGTCAGTCAGTCAGCCTGTCAGTCTGTCAGCCAGTCAGTCTGTCTGTCTGTCTGTCAGTCAGCCTGTCTGTCTGTCTGTCTGTCAGTGAGCCTGTCAGTCTGTCTGTCTGTCAGTGAGCCTGTCAGTCTGTCTGTCTGTCAGTCAGCCTGTCAGTCTGTCTGTCTGTCAGTGAGCCTGTCAGTCTGTCTGTCTGTCAGTGAGCCTGTCAGTCTGTCTGTCTGTCTGTCAGCCTGTCAGTCTGTCTGTCTGTCTGTCTGTCTCTCTGTCTCTCTGTCTGTCTGCCTGTCTGTCTGTCAGTCAGTCAGTCAGCCTGTCAGTCTAGGTCCACAATCAAAGACAAGTTCAAGAGTTCTGGGACAAACACTGGAGCAGTGTCCTCCAGAAGTCTCACATGACAAAATAGCACATTATTGGAGTATTTCAGTCACTTGTCTGTCAGCTTGTTGAGTTGATTGGATGGTGGGATGACCGGTGTGCCTCTGATGTTTGGAGACAGCGACAGTGTCTTCTCTCTCCTTAACATGTTTCTTTCTTCTTCCTTCTCTCCGTTAAAAGCCATCTCTCTCGCATTCTTTTCTTCTCTCACATTTCTTTCTGTTTATCTCTCGTCCACTTGTCCGCCTCTCGTGGTCCCTCTCCCTCTCCCAGGTCAGAGGTCAGCCATCATCAGGTTCAGCAGCCTCTTCTTGTGCTCTGCAGCTTTTTATAGATGAGACGAGGTGGAGAAACACAGTTTCAGGGTGTATGGGTTGGACCCATCTGAAACCACACACACACAAACATACTTAGTATTAGAGCCTGGCTGAGACATTAGTCACGCTGCACCCTATTACTGGAATGACTGCAGAAACAGCAGGTACAGATGAATACATAAGGCTGAATCAGTCATCGGTGACAGGCTAGTCAAACTCTCATGATACAGACTTGCCCTGCTTTATTTAATGATGATCATATTCAAGTATAGTTTATTATACTTCTGATTAAGAATGTTAACCTATATCCCAGAAAGAAAAGGGAAAAACATCACCTACATTTATCTACTACTACTACTACAACTACTGCTAATTTATTCAAAACTACTTGTTTTGAATTGGCATAATCTGTCAGGCATATTTTCTATACATGTATATTAGACTTGTGTTGTCTGTTGTGATGTGGATGAGAATCTGATCCCCGACCGACAGGAACATCAGCCTAAGGGCTGTTTCCCATGTTAACATTTCTAATTTTGTCATTTTTTCTGTCGCTCTGCAGTGCTGTCAAACTGTCTCATCTTTTTTCTTTTCTGCATCACAATGACATGCTCTGTCAACAAATTACAGTACATCCAGTAAAAGTGTAACTGTGAATACTGTCCAATCTATTGCAATGTATAACTTTGCACTGTTGAAACAAATATTCCAACTGATGGTTTTCTCATGCCTGGATTTAGGGGGTGCTGCGGCCACCTCAGCACCCCGACCTCCATGGATACCTGGATGAATGCTTGTGTACTTCAGACAGACTTACTGGGTATCCTGATCTGGTAGTGGTTGAGAACAGTAAGAACCTCCACAGCCTCCGTCTTACTGTCGAACTCCAACAAGCCAGAGATGGTCTTAGAGGAGGCTGAGAGTGATCCAGAATGTGTGAGTAAAAGAGAGGATTGGATAGAGAAGGATAGACACAGAGGGAATAGGCCGAGGGAGTAATATGTAGTTAATAAATTATATCACTTTCAAATAAACCAGTTCACACAGAGAAGTAAAAGGATTACTGAAGTTCTACTTACGTTTGGCATCAAACATCTTGAATTTGACGAAACCAGGCACGTCATGCTCCGTGCACAGCTGTCAAAACACACAGCAGCTAATGTATCAGTAAAGCTGCATTAGGCAAGCCTTAGATGTAAGAGACAGGTCTTTATCTGTACCCAGCAAGACATTTAGACACTGCTCCTCCCTGCTTCAGTTTCTAAAGCTAATTTTCATATGAAACAGTCCGTGCTCATTTGGCTTGATGAGGTTTTTCAGGATTAAAGTTTACTACTATTATTGCCAAAGAGACAGAGGGAGAGGGACAGGCTATTTCGAGAGAAGTACTTTTGCTGTATTTAAACTAAAACTTAAAACAGGACAGTTATCAGACAGAAGTACCTTACCCTCAGTAAGTGGTCCTGTGATATGCATGGAGGAACGTTATAGTAGTGAAGCACTGCAGATGGAGGCTGGATGATATTTTTGGAGGCCTGTCCAGCGCTGCTGAAGCGGTTGTTCCTGGTCATGGCAAAGTCCTTATAGCTGCTGCTGCCATCCTCTAACTCAAACACCTGACTGGGGATCACTGCATGCTGCTTAGACACACTGCACACAACACAACAAATCCATGCATGTCCAATCTGCTTTGCATAAAACAGCAATAATACCATGAACACATCGACAACATGTCACAAATCTGGTTTGCATGCTGTCATGAAATCATTTTACATTTAATCAGTATTATTCAATGTTGAGACTGTGAACTGAGGAGCGCCAACCAGAGGACAGGAGGGGCCTCATTTGCTAAAGCATTCAAATAAAAGGCTCCTCTTCGGAATGTTTACAGTTTTTCTCAGTCGCTTTGGTGCATTTCTCAGATCAGAATTGAAATTCTCAAAACTAATTGTTCAGCCTCCACATCATCTCGTCACTTGTGCACATCATAAAAGGCTTTCTCATTGTTTTGAACAAATTGCAAATGACTTGACACACTGATGCAAATGATTATGTACAATTGTCTGCTGTTTCCTGCATTATCAATTGCTTATAATAATAATAATAATAATAATCCTTATTTGTAGAGCACTTTTCAAAAACAAGTTACAAAGTGCTTTAACAAGTGTAAAGAATAATACAAAAAAAACAAGATAAGAGCATGAAAAATTAATATAAAATTAGTAAAATACAATAAAATGGATAAAATAAAGTCAAATAAGATCGGGAAAGGCTCTCCTATAAAAGTATGTTTTAAGAAGGGACTTAAAAGAGTTCACTGACTCAGCCGACCTGATTTCCTCGGGCAGGCTGTTCCAGAGCCTCGGGGCCCTGACAGCAAACGCTCTGTCCCCTTTAGTTTTCAGTCGAGACTCTGGAACAGACAACAGACCTCTGCCCAAGGATCTCAAGGTACGTGCTGGTGCGTATGGGACTAAAAGGTCAGAAATATAACAAGGCGAGAGGCCATGAAGAGCTTTAAAAGTGATCAATAGAATTTTAAAGTCAATTCTAAAACATACTGGGAGCCAGTGTAATGAAGCTAAAATAGGAGTAATGTGGTCATATTTCTTTGTTCTGGTTAAAAGCCTGGCAGCTGAGTTCTGGACAGTCTGGAGTCGATCAATAGATTTTTGGGTAAACAGGTGAAAAGGCTGTTGCAATAATCCAGGCGTGATGAGATGAAGGCGTGTAAAATGGTCTCGGTGTCCTTAAAAGTTAACATAGATCGAATTTTAGCTATATTTCTAAGTTGATAAAAACATGATTGAACAAGCTTTGTGGTGTGCTGCTCGAAATTTAAATTACTATCAAACCAAACACCAAGGTTCTTTGCCACAGGCTTAATGTGATTTACTAGGGAACCAGCAGATGGCAGTATTTGATTTGTCATCTGCTGGGACCCAATGACCAGGATTTCTGTTTTGTCTGAATTCAGCTGGAGGAAATTATTTGACATCCATTTTCCAACTTCACAAAGGCAGTTGTTAAGTGAACTCAGCATTCCAGGGTCTGTGGATCTGACAGGCAAGTATATTTGTGTGTCATCAGCATAAATATGAAAAGAAATGCCATGTTTATGGATAATATGTCCAAGGGGAAGCAGATACAAGGAAAACAAAATGGGTCCTAAGACCGACCCCTGAGGCACACCATATTTAACTGGACAGAATGAGGAGACATAGTTGTTTACAGACACGCAAAACTTCCTATTTGACAGGTAGGATGAAAACCATCCTAGGGCCGTACCAGAGATCCCCACCCAGTGCCTCAGTCTGTCTAACATGATGTTGTGATCAATGGTGTCAAAAGCAGCGCTAAGGTCCAGGAGTACAAGGACTGAGCACATGCCTTCATCAGCAGACATTAAAAGGTCATTGGTGACTTTAAGCAGGGCAGTCTCAGTGCTGTGGTACTTCCTAAAAGCAGACTGAAACTTTTCAAATATTTTGTTATTTTCCAGTACAGTGAGCAGCTGCTGGACACAATTCTTTCTAGAATCTTTGCAATAAAAGGCAGTTTTGAAATTGGTCTAAAATTATGTGGGAGGGAGGGATCTAAACCAGGTTTCTTTAAAAGTGGGTTCACGCAAGCCGTTTTAAAATAATCAGGGACACAACCAGTAGATAGGGAGCTGTTGAAAACAGAGATCAAATGGGGCCCAACAGAATCTATTACTTTCAGTAAAAACTTTGTAGGTATTACATCAAGTGGGCTGGAAGACACTCTCATTTGTGATACTGGCGGTTTTGGGGGGGCGATAAATTATAAAAAATATGATAGGTTGCAGCCCTCCAACTTTAAGAGTGAGAACTTCAAAGGAGTTAAATTCATCACAGTGTACTTGATGACATTTTAAATTTTTCCTATACACGCTCACTAGCCCACCACCACGACCACTGACCCTCGGTTGACTAAACAATCATATTGAGGCGGACATATTTCAGCTAGCTGGCTATAGTCATTCATTTGCAACCAGGATTCAGTTAAAAAACATAAAATCTAGATTTGCAGACAAGATAAAATCATTTAAGATAAAAGTCTTACTTGAAAGTGATCTCACATTGAAGAGAGCCATTTTAAATGAGTTTGTTCTGGGTGCTGGAGTTGGTGCAGTTGTCCTAATCCTTAAGAGATTACTAATATTTCTGTGTGGGATGTGCACATTTCGGTTTACTGGTCTATGCGTGATGATGACAGGAATAGAAGTCTGTGGAACAGCGCTGGAGCAGACGGCTTTACATGCCAGCAGGTGGAGACAGTTGTTTGTGGCAGTGAGCAGAGATCTGTTCAGTGAGCGGTGGTGTGTCCAGGTGTGCTGCATGAATGATTAGTCATTCACGTAAGTCATGTGTGGACCGCACCACATGCTGTATGTGCGCAGCTAACATTTCTGAGCCCCGTTTGTTTGGGTGAAGTCCGTCTGTCTTAAAAAGAGACATTCTTTGCCAGAAAATATTAAAATTATCCACATAACACACACGATGAGCCCTGCAGGCGGACTGGAGCCAGTCGTGGAGGCCAAGGAGTCTACTGAAGCGGCCGGCACCGCGACCAACTGTGGGAATGGGACCAGAGATAAAAACGGACTTTCCACACTGCTTTAAAAAGTTAAAAGACGGTTAAAATCTGATTTTGTCAGCTCAGACTGCCGAAGAGCTGTGTCATTTGTTCCGACATGGACTATCACTCTTGTGATGGAGGACGGGAGCGATGGCATCAGGTCCTGGAGTTTTTTTAAAATGTCAGCTGTGGTGGCACCGGGGAAGCAGTGAGTGGTAGCGTTGAAGAAACGGATGTTTCTGGTTATGGAGTCACCAATTGTTAGTGTGGTTGGGGAGAAAAGAGGACGAGGAGATGCCGGTTGTGGGGATCCAGAGCAGGACTGAGCAGAATCTGCTTCAACACTGTGTGCGGACTGAGGATGGAGTGTGTGAGCTGCCGAGTGTTGTGTTGGAGTAGCAGTAACAGACCTGAGAGAAGGGCTACCCGACGGTGCAGGGTAGAGAGCAAAGCCTCCTTCAGGATCCTACGTCAGGAAGCGGAGGTTTTTGACCGGGATGACGGCCGCCGATCAGGCCCAGCAGCAGACCGGCGGCCCAGTGCAGGAGATGTAGCCGGTGGAGGAGATGCAACAGTGTCGGCAGACACTGTGCGCCGAAAGAGATCCATATCAGGGAGACTCGAAGCCGCAGGTGCATCCGCTGGATGGACCGGAGTGTCGTTAGACAAGGCTGCATAGCGGTTGGAGAGGCGGATGTGCGGAGGAGAGGCAGCCCCATCCGAGCCTCTCTTCCAGCCACGGACCACCACTTCAGCCAGGTTGACTGATGCTTCGGAGTCGAGCAGGATGAAAGCCTGGGAAGGCTAGAGGGGTCCCAAAACACGGTGTCCTGGATGTTGGCGGTTGCGCTAAGAGAAACAATCTGTTTGGCTTGTACTGAAGCCACATCCATAAAGCCAGTCAGCAGGGAATCTTTCTCTTTGAGTTCCTCTGAAAGTCGTCGGATGTCTTACATAAGGTCAGCAATCTTCTTGTTCGCTTTCTTAAGGAGTGTGCAGTCCTCATGGGGCAGAGTTATTTCGGCTAGCATAGTCACCGGAGCTTTGTTGCGATCAGTAGCGTTGATCGCGTTTTTACGGTCATCTAGCTTAAAATCCATGTCGGATGGCTAAAATCCTTAACCCACGTAAAACTTAAGTTAAATAAAAAGGACATAAAAAATGTAACGAAAAGGAGTGGATTAAAACTGGATAAGAGTTCGGTTTAAGACGGAGCTTCCGACAGGTGGCTACAGACGCCAACGCATGTGCAGAGTGCAGATTACATCAGCAATTACGTCAGAGGTCTTGTGACAAGATGTCGTGCTGATCACAATTAATTATACCAGTCTCTGTTGAATAATCTTACCCCCCAAAACAACTAGGCATAATTTCATTGCATTAGTCATTACATGCAAAACTGTTGAACACGTAATCAAAAATAAAAGTTGAAATACTTTTTTCATATCGTTTGCCTACAAGTATATAGCTAAACGAAATGTTTCTTACGTACCATAAACAAAGTAAGAATAGAAAACAACAACACTCAGACCATTCTCCCACAATACCATAAATACAGTGGGTACGGAAAGTATTCAGACCCCTTTAAATTTTTCACTCTTTGTTTCATTGCAGCCATTTTCCAAAAATCAAAAAAGTTCATTTTATTTCTCAGTAATGTACACTCAGCACCCCATCTTGACTGAAAAAAACAGAAATGTAGAAATTTTTGCAAATTTATTAAAAAAGAAATACTGAAATATCACATGGTCATAAGTATTCAGACCCTTTGCTCAGTATTTAGTAGAAGCACCCTTTTGATCTAATACAGCCATGAGTCGTTTTGGGAAAGATGCAACAAGTTTTTCACATCTGGATTTGGGTATCCTCTGCCATTCCTCCTTGCAGATCCTCTCCAGTTCTGTCAGGTTGGATGGTAAACGTTGGTGGACAGCCATTTTCAGGTCTCTCCAGAGATGCTCAATTGGGTTTAAGTCAGGGCTCTGGCTGGGCCATTCAAGAACAGCCACGGAGTTGTGAAGCCACTCCTTCGTTATTTTAGCGGTGTGCTTAGGGTCATTGTCTTGTTGGAAGGTAAACCTTCGGCCCAGTCTGATGTCCAGAGCACTCTGGAAAAGGTTTTCGTCCAGGATATCCCTGTACTTGTACGCATTCATCTTTCCCTCGATTGCAACCAGTCGTCCTGTCCCTGCAGCTGAAAAACACCCCCACAGCATGATGCTGCCACCACCATGCTTCACTGTTGAGACTGTATTGGACAGGTGATGAGCAGTGCCTGGTTTTCTCCACACATACCGCTTAGAATTAAGGCCAAAAAGTTCTATCTTGGTCTCATCAGACCAGAGGATCTTATTTATCACCATCTTGGAGTCCTTCAGGTGTTTTTTAGCAAACTCCATGCGGGCTTTCATGTGTCTTGCACTGAGGAGAGGCTTCCGTCGGGCCACTCTGCCATAAAGCCCCGACTGGTGGATTGCTGCAGTGATGGTTGACTTACAACTTTCTCCCATCTCCCGACTGCATCTCTGGAGCTCAGCCACAGTGACCTTTGGGTTCTTCTTTACCTCTCTCACCAAGGCTCTTTCCCCCGATAGCTCAGTTTGGCCGGACGGCCAGCTCTAGGAAGGGTTCTGGTCGTCCCAAACGTCTTCCATTTGAGGATTATGGAGGCCACTGTGCTCTTAGGAACCTTAAGTGCAGCAGAAATTTTTTTGTAACCTTGGCCAGATCTGTGCCTTGCCACAATTCTGTCTCTGAGCTCTTCAGGCAGTTCCTTTGACCTCATGATTCTCATTTGCTCTGACATGCACTGCGAACTGTAAGGTCTTATATAGACAGGTGTGTGGCTTTCCTAATCAAGTCCAATCAGTATAATCAAACACAGCTGGACTCAAATGAAGGTGTAGAACCATCTCAAGGATGATCAGAAGAAATAGACAGCACCTGAGTTAAATATGAGTGTCACGGCAAAGGGTCTGAATACTTATGACCATGTGATATTTCAGTTTTTCTTTTTTAATAAATTTGCAAAAATTTCTACATTTCTGTTTTTTTCTGTCAAGATGGGGTGCTGAGTGTACATTACTGAGAAATAAAATGAACTTTTTTGATTTTTGGAAAATGGCTGCAATGAAACAAAGAGTGAAAAATTTAAAGGGGTCTGAATACTTTCCGTACCCACTGTACCAGTAAACAGTAACAATACACAGTGAGCAGTAATAACGAATGTTGTTTTTTACCCTGAGAAAGGGATAATTAATTTTCTTGTGATTATAAGATAACAAACCATAGCTGAATACAGGGGCTGGCAGGTCTGTTTCTTTAGGATAATTTCAAAGCAATTACCAGTGTCACTTATAAGCTCAATTGGTAGAGCACAGGGCTCAGTTTGATTAGTTTGATTCCTATTCTTGTTGACTTTCTTTTTCTTCTTTTGTGTGTTATTTATTATCCTCTTCAGCAAAATTGTTATCAAGAGATTGAGGGGAATCCGCATTTCCCGACGGCTATTTCAAAGGTTCCGAAAGCCGTCAGGAAATGTGTAACGTTACATGGATTCCCCTGAATGAGAAGGAATTTCCTCTGCCTGGGAATGATGGGGAAATGAAAAGTCCATAGGTTGATGGATGTGGACCAAATGCCGGAACGCATGGGCTTTACAGCAATGTGAGCATGTCAGACAGTCTTTTAATAAGAACTTTGTTGAAAAGAACTATGAAAAATATTAAAAAGAAAAATTTTGTCTTCAGTGAGGATCGAACACGCAACCTTAAAACTATAAATCCTGTGTTCTACCAAGTGAGCTAACCAATGGTACCACATACCCCACTATAATTAGCATTATGTTTATCTCGAAATCACGAGAAAATTATCCCATTATCACAGCAAAGCAGAGTAAAAAAGTATTTGATTAGGGCTTCGGTATGTGTATATATGAATGTATATACAGATAGACATTCTATACATGTCTATTTGAATTTTTTTGTAAATGTGTCCTGAATTGATGAAGATATCTGTTGTGATCTGGAAGAGAATCTGTGATACAACAGACTGGAACGTCAGCCAAAGGGGTGTGTGTATCCAATGCAACAGTCCTGTCTCTTTCTTTTCTGTATTACAATGACATGCTCTGTCAACAAATTACAGTACGAACAGTAAAAGCATAGCTGTGATTCCTGTCCTCTCTCCTGCAGTGTATAACTTTGTACTGGTGAAAGTTATATATGCCATACAAAAAAGGTGCAGCCTTGTGCATTTCATTGTCATCAAAATCCTAGCCAACGTGTACATCAGAAAATACTTATAGAGTACACCGTTATATTGACAAGATGGCTAAAAATTTTGACTTGCTTGTTCATAACAAGAGACACGGACTTGTCTTTCTGATGGCACTGACAAGATCAATGACATAAAGATTTGCTTTTGAGAGATTGACTAAGGATTTTGAGCAAGTTATGGGCTTTTGCAGGTAATCCACTGTGTTGTGCCGTTTGTACTACCTGTTTTGAGAAATGCACTCACTGGTTTGCAAATGTTAAGGATGATTTGAGAAATGTACCAAAGCGAGTGAGAAAAACTGTAAACAAACTCTGATGCAAGTATTATTAATAAATACTGTTTATCAGAGTGCATCTATGATTTCTTTGTGACTATTTATATAGTTCATATATTAAAATGGTTTGTTGAATAAATAGTTTGACCTCAAATTGATCAACAACAGTTTTATTTATTTATGGATGGAATGCTTGACATGTTAAAGTGAGTGAGAAAACTTGTTTTCAACATGGTCCTAATTATTGTTAAAGTCATTTATCAAGTAAAAAAGCCAAACTTTGACTCCAGCTTCCCCAATTTTGAGGATTCACTGCTTTTCTCTGTTTTATAACATAATAAATTTAATATCTTTGGCTTTTGGGCTGGTTGGATAAAACATTGGAGACCTTGGTCTCTGGGAACTCGTGACCAAGGGCGTAAATTTTATCTACCAGTTGGGGGGGACAATAAACATAAAATTTCTTAAGCAATAGTTTTTGAAGGGCACACAAATAATCCAGAGGGTTTATTTCATGACCATCCCCGACCCCACCCCCACCCCCGCAATTTCCGCTTGTGAAATGACTTTTTTTCATATTTTAAAGGAATTTCACAGTTTTTATGAAGTGGCTTTTTCTTCTTCTCACTAGGTTACGGTGTCGGTTCTAAGATCGGCGGTTCTATTTCTAACTGATAGATGTGACACCTTTTACTATATAATTTTACATTTGACTTACATTTGCATGAATAGTCTTTACAGCAACACACATTAAAGATATAATATTTAAGAAATAAATAATACTTAAGAAATAATAAAATAAGGTGTGTGTGTGTGTGTGTGTGTGTGTGTGTGTATTGGTCTACTTCTCACCAGACATTGAGTCTTTTGCCAAACACCTTGATGCTGTTGAGGTGTGTGATGGCTCTGTCCACAGCATACTCATCTCCCATCTCAACCAACGCAGTACCAGGAACACTCTTCATAAACTTTACCTACAACACACACACACACACACACACACACACATTCAAGAGCTATGTTATAAAAGCAACGTACGTGCTGTACTCACCTTTTTAGATATAACACTAATCAACACATGTAATGATTTCTTAAAGTTAAAGTTCACAATTTTCAAGTCTGTCTTAGTCAGTTAATAATAGTCAGTTGCCTTGAAAACTGAAACAGGTTTCACTTGCTGTAATCACTGCTTCACATTGACCATTAAAAGATCCCTTCCTAATGCACTTCCAGTGTAAGTGCTATAGACAGAATCCACAGCCCTCATGCTGTGGAAAAACGGTGTATTTACTTTTTAATGTAAATGTTTTAAAGAGGAGGTATTACGCTTTTTTGTTTTTTTATACCTTTTTTGTGCATATAATAGGTTTGCAAAGTGAAAAAGGCCAAAATCCAGCCCAAAGGGAGTTCATCTCTGTGAAGTCACAGGGATGAAATGCGCCTCATAGAACTAGTTGGCCGTGTCGACTAGAGTCTCAAACACAGTGAGCTGCAGCACACAGCTCTCCTCTCCCTTCCAAACACTAGCTACCCTCCAGGCAGTCAGTGGACATAAAGTTGTTCCTGTGATGTAGAGACAGAGCTCAGGTAAAACTTTATGGATGAAAGATACTTTGTTACAGATTAATAACTCACCACTCTGAAACTCTTGCTCCAGCCTATGTTGCCAACATGGTCGGCAACATGTACAGCAGAAAGGAAGCCCTGTTTACCAGCTTCTCACTAACCCGCCCTTCTCTGCTTCTGATTGGCTGGTAGTCCTTAACTAGGAACTGCGAATGTGCAACTCCCAACAAAGATCATTTAGAGAAGATGTATCACTCCATAGCTAAAACGAAGCCTTCAACACAGGCTGAAAAGAGGAGCTGCAGCAATGTCCATCCATCGTCAACCGCTTATCCTGCGTACAGGGTCGCGGGGGGCTGGAGCCAATCCCAGCTGACATCGGGGTACACCCTGGACAGGGCTGCAGCAATGTGCAGTAAAATTAAACCATGCAAACCTGTTCTGGTACAACCTCTAAATAGGATTTTGAACCTGAAAATGTGCATAATACATGTGTTTGCTGGTTACTAGGGATGGGGATCATTAATTTTTATTGATATTGATACCCTTATTGAGACTGCTTAACGATCTGATTCTTTACATACAGGATGAGATACTGAGGACAGAGATGATTAAATTAACCATTTCTACATGTTTAACGTTACCTTACAGACAGGTGTATTGATAAACTATTGTCTTTTTACTTGCGAAGGTTTTATTGCACGTACTTACAGTAACGAGCGTAGCTGTCATCAACTAACGTTACAGTAGTTTGGAGCTAACGTTAACTTAACCCTCACCGTATTCCACCTCCACTGTGTGTGTGTGTGTGTGTGTGTGTGTGTGTGGTGTGTGTGTGTGTGTGTGTGTGTGTGTGTAGGAGCCGACAGAGAGACTGCAGCCAGATGATTTTCTTATCCATTGCGTTTCAAATTAAATCAGATTTGACGCTCAAGACATAACGTTACATCATAGGACCCGCAAGTCTCGATAGCAGTATCGATAAGCTCGAACCTTACTGATTTTTAGTTTTGAGAAATTTTGGAACTGGGTCTCGACCCCCATCCCTACTGGTTACTTTTGCCGTTGGTACTTTTCCCATTCCCAAACACTAATATTCAGAAGGAAAAAAACATGACAGTGTCCATTGGTTGTTAGTTGCCTAGCAACAGTGTTCCCATAATGTAAAACTTATCTCATTGCTCTTTTCATATAGAGCATATGGAGACTATACTCTTTGTAACATTAACAGTTCCCACCATGAGCAAGCACTTGGCGACACAGGCAAGGAAAAACTTCCTTTTAGCAGGTAGAAATCCTGGATGAATTCTCCTGTGCAAATATGATTTTATTAATTCAATTTGAAGGAAGTGAATACTGTCATTAAAGTAAAGAACTTCCTGAATGTCCTTAAGCTTGGCAGTGACTGAGTCATGAAGGTTGATGTCGCTTTCTCCTGCAGCACCCTGATGGGAGACTGTTGTGCAAAAGGATGGCACAGGTTTTTGTACTGTCCTCTTATTCCAAAAGGTGAAAGCAAAGGACGTGTAACACTCAAAGAAGTAAAGCGAATGCGCCCGAAATGAAGCAGGGATCATTATATTGTTCAAACAGCAAAACATGTTAAGAATACACACTCCTACCTTCTCAATGTTGCCATACAGGCAGAAGAGGTTGAAGATGCGGGTGCAGTTCATCTTGGATGGATGGAGACCGCTCACCATGGCAACAGAGCTGGGGGCATGGGCAGAGTAGGAGGAGGAGGACTGGGGCAGAGGGTAGGACACCATGTCTGGAACGTCCACTGAGGCGAGCTTGTACCTGCTGTTCCCCGGAAGAGGCAGCAGGGGGCAGGGTTGACCTGGGGAGGCAGAGAAAAGAGAAGCTGAGATTCTCAGTTCATTTCAGTTCAGTAAAGTGAACCTCCTGTGTCTACTGTTATTGTTAGATGTAGGTGTTGTTGACACATGTTGACTGTGGCCGTAATATGATTAGTTCTGCATGCGCGTTTCCTTCAGTCCACAAACTGATCTCAACGTTCACTTATATGGACACCTTTGCCCACCAAGAGTAGGCAGCTGCAGGGCTCGACTCACCTTTAACTCACTCAAAAAGCTTTTTATCATAGTAGACATGGGCTAGCGTTTAAATGCACATGCCTGCAATACTGTAAATATCAGCACGTCATGTACTTTTTAGTTTTTACTAATGCTGGTGTGAGACTAATTAAACCTTGATAGTGAATTTCATTTTGCCTATTTGTGTCGGTTGCCCCTCACATAAAAATGAACCATTTGCCTGTTTTCCTTCTTGGAACAGCCACACATGCTGTGTCCTAAGTGAAGAAATTCAGATACCATAAAATTACGTGTTTTACAGTTAATTGCATTTTTATTGCCAAATTCTGCGATTCCTTCCGCGATTTCTGCAGCTTTCAGGTGGGGCGGGCCTCCCAATGGTCGGGGAAACACTGTAGTATTTTGTGTGACGCTGTCTTGGGCGTCTCGAGCTTGCTCATTAGTTGAAGCATGCACATGAGCACATGCTTGGGAAGGAGCTGAGTTGAGCAATGTGAAACCTCACCCCTAGAGCCCACTGAAAACTACACATGGCCCCTTTAACTAAATGTTGAATAATGCAGTTGCTCACTATTTTGTATGGAAGATTTATAATACCTGATTAAAAAACAAATCACACAAAGAGGTAAAGTGAAATACAATACACAATTTTATGTGTATTTCCTTTTCATGTTAACTGTGTCCTAATTTATCCAATCCAATCCATTTTATTTACATGCACACTTTGAAAAACAGGTTTACAAAGTGCTGCACAAAGAATAAAACATAAAATACATATAAACCCACATAGAAGACATAAAAACATAACAAACACACAAAGAAATGATTCAGAAACAATCGCAGGGCAACAACAGTAGACCTGACAGCTCTCATGCTGGGTTAAAAGCCAGGGAATAAAAGTGAGTTTTTAAACGGGATTTAAAAGTTTTGAGGGTGGGGGCCATTTTGACCAGTGGAGGTAGCTCATTCCATAGTTTAGGGGCTGCTGCTGAAAAAGCACGGTCGAATAGAGTAATTCGACCGGATCCGTTAGAATAATTCACAGGGATCCGTTTCCAAATGCAGGTGAAGGTATACCTACTGCTGCACCTCTGGTCATCACACATGACTGGCAATCTTCACCTATACTGTGTGTGTGTGTGTGTGTGTGTGTGTGTGTGTGTGTGTGTGTGTGTGTGTGTGTGTGTGTGTGTGTGTGTGTGTGTGTGTGTGTGTGTAAGCGAGTGTCTAGTTTCACCTTCAAGGTATGGGGACTGTAGATAAAGTATCAGCCTTGTGTAAGGCAGGGATTCAGTTTCCAGTGTAATTCTAAGTGTGTGTGTTAATCTTACCATAGCCGTTCTCACTGTAGGATGATGGGTGTTCTCCTAAAATGGCCTGTCTCTGCCTGCCCTTTCCACGGTCTGAACACACACACACACACACACACACACACACACACACACTCATAATTAGATTGAGTGCAGGGCCCACAGTAAAAACAATGGGCTTTTGTCAAAGATGTAGACTTTGCATTTACTACTGAAGGCTCGGCAGTATAGTCGACCAAAAAGACCACACTGCCTGTTCATAGGGCTCTAAGTCTGGAACAGAGCTAAAACAAACTCTTGGTGCTGGATGATTACAACAGGCAGTTTGGGTAATCATTTTACAGTTCACCTTTGTTTTCTCTTCCAAACAAGTTTGACTGACCTAGGGGTTTGTTTACAACCAGTCTGACTGCTTGTGTTTCTTGACCCATTAGACATCCGGATCTTTAGCAGCAATGTGTTCCCAGATCTCAGCAATTAACTTGGTCATTACAATGTTAATTTTCTTGACAGAAATAATAAACAAAACAGCGGAAATAAGACCAAGTTGTCAAAAGCATTCTTTGGTATATCCTTTAAAAGACAGCCACAAGGTGACACCACAGTGCACAATGCCACAGTAGACTGTGAAGCTGTAGAATAATGCAGAGGGGCAGCTGTAAGGGATCGCTTGTGCCTAGAAGTACAAATTGCATTAACAGCCCGGCTGGAAACTCCTTACCCTTAAACAACATTCAAAATTACAGGAAATTAAAGGGAAATCATAGTTTCACACAACCTGGGTCTTACTTTAATGATTTTGTCTAACATGTCTAACCATCCAGCCAACAATATTCAGATGTTGCCTTGGCAACAGGCTAAGCAAGGTAATACATAATGTACGTCCTGTTACCCAGCCATGTACTCACGCTCCTCCTGGGGATCCAAAGACTTTCCAAGCCCAGATTTGATATGTAATCCCTGCAGCATGTTCTGGGTCAGCCCTGGGGTCTTCCCCCAGTTTGGATGTGAAAACCTCTAGAGCAAGGCCTCCAGGGTTTAGGTGTTAAATGTGGTGTGTGGATGTTGGTAGGGAATAATGATAAAATAACCAAACAAAGTGCAGGGAGTATCCCTGAGAAGGACAGGGTGGCAGCTTATGTAGTGACTGGGAATGGCCCTGCCTACCAATTAGCTACATATGCAAGAAACAAGGCACAAAAAGGCCAGAGGACTTCCACATTCACACCCAGCTGCTAACCACCCAAGTGCATGGAGGTCAGGAGAATGACAAACATTTGTAAAAACCAAATGTGCAATTCTATGGCTGCCATCCTGGAAACAGAACAAGGCACAATCCCGGCCGAGCCCAGAGGCCCCTGCAAATGTTCTTCTCACCTAGCTAAGAGCTGAGATCTGAGACACAAAAATTTGCTACTTTTACAGTATCCACAAAACAGCCCTTGGAGTGCACCAAAACATAACCATTTTAATCAAGGGTCATCATCAAGGGTATTGGAAGAGTAGTTTAAGTTTTTATGGATGTTTTCATAATCGTAAAACCTCACATCGATATTAAAATCCATTATAGCAGCTGTGAATCCATTTGAACACAGACTGTATTCTCCATGGTAGAGCAAATTCCATTTTTTAGCCACTGTTAAAGGAGACCTATTATAGTCCTTTTCCAGTCCCATACTGTCTTTCTGTGACTCCTGTATGGCAGCTTTGCATGATTCAAAGTTCAAAAAAATAATTTTCTGTCTTATACTGGTTCTTCATGAAGGCCTTCAATTCAGCCTCTGTCTGAAACAAGCTGTAGATGCACCTGTCTCTTTAAGCCACCCCCCCCCCCCCAAAGCACACTGTATTCTGAGTGGCCAAGACCTGAAGCATGTTACCAGGCTGTTGTTGCCACTGAGCGTTAACAGAGACAATTTAGAGTAGACATGCCACTCAATCATATCCTCAATACAACTCTATGGGGAAAGCCCGTAATGGCAAAGATGGCGGCTATCCCGCCCCTCCCGCTAGAAAGCCAATCGTCTGCTTTTAACAGCCAAAGCATGAATCATATTTCAGCCAATCGCATGGTTCCACTGACGTAAGGGTCTGTTTTACCTTTACAACGCATGCGCGGAAGTGGTGACGCATGCGTAGTAGAAGTATAACCGGTCGGGACAAACGCTTTTTAAACCTTATTTTGGAGCAAAGTTTTCAAACTCTTTCAGCGATTTTTATCAGATTTTACTGCTGATTCTATTCATGTAGTTTTTATGTCCCAGTGACCAGTAAAAGTGCAGTTCTAGGAGACTGGTCTTGTTAGTCCAAAATGAGTGTCCGGAAGTGTTGCCAAGATGGCGGCCCGAGTGGCAGGACTTGCCTAAAAGGACTTTGGCGGCACAGACAGACTGAGCGTAGCTGTGCGGCACAAATGACCAAACCAGCTGTGTAGCTTCGTGTGTCGTACAACGGAGCCGTTCATAGAATAAGCAGTTCAAAACAGCGTTCAGAACAGGAGGAAATCTGAGGTTTGGACTCACAGGGAATTCTTTTAAATACTCTTGCCTCATTATTTGAAGCTTTGGCCATGTTTAACATGAACATCCAACATTGTAACATTGTAGATAAGGCATAAAATGTGGAAAAGCATAATAGGTCTCCTTTAAAGCCAACAGGGGGCATTTAGTTATACATTTTGTTATCTGGAATATTTTGGTTAAATAAATAAAAAACACACACACAATGAAGCTGACCTCTGAATTATTGCCCCGACAGAGATGGCCTTACTTAATAATTCATTTAATGTACATGATAGCTTAAGAAAAATATGTTTTAAAGTGTGTAATTTCTGTGTGCTGTCATCTGTAATTCAGAAATTAAAATTACAAAAACAAATCAAAATAGGCAGAAGTTTTTTTCCAAAGGAGAACAAATCTAGAAAGTAGGTAGAAGGGCTACTGTTTCATTCACAAACCCAAATACAGATCTGTAGTCCTTCTACAAACCACTACAGATATGTAGTGGTTTTGTCATTTTTTGTGTTGAAAGTAAGTGAGCTGATTTCAAATTTCATTCATTTCAATGAACCACATTAATAAAAATAAAACTTCAGTACCATCTATGATAATGATGGAGGTGAATAAATAAGAAATAATCAGCTTTAAGGTGGTTTTATTCAGAGAGAGGCAGGTATAATGGTATAGAGGGTCATGTGAACAGAGATATGAAAGAGACAGTACCTGTGAGGCATCAAGCTTTCTCTTTTTTCTCCCTCAGCACGAAAGAACATCAACCTGCATTACATTATCATCATAATGATAAAAACATCACCATCATCACTGTGGCTGTTAAACACGTTTAATCATGTTTTTATCCACAACACAGTCAAAGCATTACAAACTGCAGTTTATAAGCTACATACAAACTATTTTCTACATTGGAGGCACATTGAAATGACACTGACTTTTTTTTTTCTAAGAGCCAGAGTCAGCTGATAGGAAGAGAGAAAAGGATCCCCCTCCCACCCACACACACACACACACACACACACACACACACACACACAGGTCCACAGGTCAGCATTTACGGTGTGCTGCTGTGTTATGTCCTGAAGACAGACACACACACACGTCAACACACACAACCATTTAGAGATGCTACATCAGTGAAAAGTGAGAGGGCTTGGAGATCAGTCAGACAGCAGGAAGGCCACACTGACCTTCTCACCACAGATTAGCAGCAGACACAGTCAGCGTGCATGTGTGTGAGGCTCAGTTCTTGCGTTCCAGTGATATTCAGCAAAAAAAGGGGTATAGGCAGTACAGGAAAATGCTGGGAGCTAATGAATGGCAACAATTAATTATAAAACAGCGCAGTCAAACCAGCAGAATGCAGACCTAAATGCAACCCACACGTTGTCAATGGAAAATGTTCACTTGCATTTCTGCCTGTTCAGTCTACCTCCTACCACAAACACAAAAGGCAAATGTATGGCTTGTTGGCAGAGGCAACCACTCAGACATCTCCAAAACTGCAAAAAAAACCTTTCAGTTACGATGACTTCTACTTCTTTCACTTTGATATCTTGGTTAAATGAAAGGCTGATTCTTCCCAACACTCATTGCCCACGGTCTGTAAAGAGTAATAAGTTCTGTTGATTAATGCCTGTAGTGCAATGCATCTGCAGTCTCTAACTTACAAACAGCTAACACAGCGTGGGTATTTTCACACATGGCAACGATCTCACAGTAACTGACCTTCTCTACTAATACTGGTGTCCTGTTCCACATGGATTCCACATTTATACAATGACATCATTTGGAGTATAGCTGGCGTCCTCAGTACGAGGCCTGAGCTTCATCAAAGATCTGCCCTTGGATGACACTTCGGACCAGAACTGAACAACATGGTTAACATTATCGTTGATGGTAACCATTGCTTTGTTAGCCAGACTCCACCACACTTACAAGTGTTGGTTCTGGTTACTGTTGTCTTTAGTTTGGTCCCAGTTGCAAACCATTGGTCTGTAGTGGGTTTATACTGGGAATAATGTAGTGCAGACATAGTATATGTAGACTAAATCAGTGATTGTGGTGTTGATGGAAACTGCTGTGTCACAGCGCACTGCACAACAGAGCTGACAGCTGAATGTGATAGGTGTGTGGGAACTGGTGCGATGTCTGTTAACGCACACCATGTACCATTAGTTGTTAGCACAAAATTCACAAGTACATTAATTCCATTGTTGCATTCTGACTGCCAACATTAGTTCATAGTGTACACTTTATAGTATTAGTATGGAACTAGGACACAGAGCTGTCTTGCTTGCAGCGTTGTTGCAAGGATGACAGCAAACCAGGTTCCCTTTTAACTGTCTGGTGTTTGAAAGCATTTTGTCATTTTGTCTTGACCAGAGTCATAATTTACACCATTTTTTCCCTAGATTTTTGCTTTTATAGTTAGTGTATGAGTTTGAGAATCACATGACCTCCCACAAAGAGAAATGAACTACCAGCACATCAGAGAAGAACCAGACCTAAAACCTACTGTCACTGTGCAACCCCAGAGGGACCTGCTGTACCTGTAGACCTTTATCTGACAGTAAATGTACAGCAGTAAAGTGTTTATATGATTAGGACTATGGATTCCTCTCCATCCTTGGTTGTGACCTTGTGAAAGCTGATCTGAAGCAACATGAACTATGCAAAGCCTCAACACACACACACACACACACACACACACAAAGAATAATGTTGGCTTATTGTCAGTGACAGTTTTTTAAACATTTAAGCTAAAAGAGGAGAGTAAAGGAAGAGACAGAATGACAGGAGAAGGACAAAAAGGGAAGAACAGAAAAATGACAGAAGGAGTTGCTTTCAGAAAAAGA